AAAGAAGCTAGAATTTATTTCCTATTATTTTTCCATTAATTTTCCGATCGTTCCTATGGCAGCTATATGATATAGTAGTCCGATTTTTTAAATAATTAATTCGAAATTCAGATATATTTAAAAAATAACATCCCCAAAAGTAGAAATTAATATTTCAAAAAATACCGAAGCTAGAATTTTTTAAAGTTTTTTTTTTCCGATTGTTCCTATGGGAGCTATAAGATATAGTTGTCCGATCCGGTCGGCTCCGACATATATACTACCTGCAATAGAAAGAAGACTTTTGGGAAAGTTTCATCCCGATAGCTCAAAAACTGAGAGACTAGTTTGCGTAGAAACAGACAGACGGACAGACGGACGGACAGACGGACATGGCTAGATCGACTCGTCTTGTGATGCTGATCAAGAATATATATACTTTATGGGGTCGGAAACGTCTCCTTCACTGCGTTGCAAACTTCTGACTGAAATCATAATACCCTCTGCAAGGGTATAAAAACACCGAAGCTAGAATTTTTTTAACGTTTCCTTCCTATGGGAGCTATAAGATATAGCTGTCCGATCCGGTTGGTTCCGACTTATATACTACCAGCAATAGAAAGAAGACTTTTGGGAAAGTTTCAAGCCGATAGCCTTAAAACTGAGAGACTAGTTTGCGTAGAAACAGACAGACGGACAGACGGACGGACAGACGGACATGGCTAGATCGACTCGTCTTGTGATGCTGATCAAGAATATATATACTTTATAGGGTCGGAAACGTCTCCTTCACTGCGTTGCAAACTTCTGACTGAAATCATAATACCCTCTGCAAGGGTATAAAAACAGATGCTTAATTTTGTTTCATTATAGCCGGACATTTCATTATTATAAATACAACATTTTTAATTTAATAGGAATAATCTGCAAGGATATATAAAGTTCGTCTGGCCAAAGCTAGCTTTCATTCTGTATTCTTCTAGTTTGATATGTAGAATTTAACAATTTTCTGAGAGCTGATTAAAACTCTTCGCCATCCGACTTTGTTAAAAAAAAACCAACAAACAAAAGCAATACAGGACAGTAAAATGGTATTGTCCCAACACATAATAAAAACTTACTTGCATGTGTATTTATTTCTAGAAATTCTATAGGGATTGTGATCTGCTTTCTGTAGGGTTCGGGAGTACAGTAACGGTAACTCAGAACATAAAACACATAAATTAAATGTTTTCAATAATCAACTCAAGACCCAAAACGTAACATTTAGAAAATAAAATGTAAATACATGTTCGTATGTACATATGTGGAATAGAGCAGCTGAGAATAAAAACAATTACAACGAAACGCCGATCAGCGATTGACATCAACACTAAGGCTTAGTTAGGGTTATTCAATTGCATTGCAATTGCTTGAAGTTCCAACAACAATATTCATATAAAATAGTTTTCTAGGCTTACAACACCCCAGCCAGTGTATACAAATATGTTGTACTTGTGTATAAATAACACAGGACAAGAAAATTGACTTTATTAAAAGGTGCACGCCTATGGGCATTTTAAAAGTCAATAAAACTCACACTAAATGTACTTCAAAATTTTAGAAACTATTTATTTATGTTAATTTAATCAATTTAGTTCGTTTTCGTTTCCCGTCCATTTTTAATTAACTTAGACCAAATAGCAGTTAAATCCAAAAGGCTCTTTGAACGATCACATTTCCCTCTGTCGGGCTGAGGCCTTTTTGAAAACGGGTGTCTCAACTTACACGCTTAAAGTGTCCCAACTTACACAAAATGTATAACTTTTTTTCTGACTGTCAAAATAGTCTGATATGTTTAATATTTGTTAAGCATTTAATTTCCCATGTTTTAAGCATTTTACAAAATATATTTAAGCCTGTTATTAATTTTTTATGCAATTTTAAAAAAAGTGTCTAAAAACTTTTTTGGTAAAAAATGGTACACGAGTGTCACAGCTTAAATCTGGCTTAAGGCTGCCTTCTATTGTTTTATCCAAAAGCAAAGCATGCAAATAATTGTTGACCGTTTTATTCCTAATGCTCTACTCCCGGGAACAACCGAAAAATAGCATGCCCTTCGTTCTTTCTCGAAGTTAGCTTCCTTTCTTGTTTTCCTTTTATTTTTGGGTTATTTTCTCAAATATTTTCTTTAATCCCAAATTTAAGAAAATCGATATTTTAGTTAAATATACCCGTTACTCGTAAAGTTAAAGTGTGTATTGTATTTCTGAAAAAGTATGTAGCAGCTAGAAGGAAGCATTTCCGGCCCTATATAGTATATATATTCTTGATCAGGGTCACTAGTCGTGTCGATCTAGCCATGTCCGTCTGTCTGTTCGTCTGTCTGTCCGTCCGTATGAACCCTGAGATCTTGGAAACTACAAAAGCTAGAAAGTTGGGATTACCCACACATATTCTTTGGCTTCCTACGCAGCGCAAGTTTGTTTCAGCCGTGCGCCACTCCCCTTTTTTTAAAGGTATCTGGCGCCCACGCCTTTTTAGATTTTAAAAAAGTAAAAGTGCAGTTTTATTGTGTTTATCAACACCTATCGAATTATAGAAGACTAGAATGGGACTATTCGTTAAAAAGTTATGCGCGATCCAAGTTTTATATTTTTATCTCCCTCGCACTCCCTTAATCTGAGTAACTGATAGTCGGGGCACCTCTCTCTTTTTTTTTTTTTTTTGAATACAAGAAACTTATTTCTAAAGTCAAGGAAATATTACTTAACCCAAGAAAATGTTTTCTTAAATCAAGAAAGCTTTACTTAAATATAGGAAAGGAAGCGTTTCCGACTCTGCTGCTCATTAGCCACCTATCGAAATATAGAAGAAATTTTTAAATTCGGAAATACTGACATACCAACAAAAATTTCTTTAAAAAAATGTTGATTTATTTTTTGTGATATAGGGGTCAAACTCTACCTGGAACTACCATCATCCTTTTTGATGTATTTTCAAAAAACCATTTTGTAAGCTAGTGAATTATTCAAATATAAATATGTATATATATATTTCAACATTTTTTTAATAAATGATTAATTGCTTAAGGCATGTATCGTTGGTTTAAATATCGATACTTATTAACATAATTATTTTTAACATTCACAAAAGCTAATCGTTGGACAATTGATTATGCCTTTTCGATGTGTACCACGATTGTTGTAAACTATGAGCAATGCTTTTATTCTAAAGCGTCTGTGAAAACCACGGACCGTAAATAATCATTATTTGAGATTTTTATTTTAAAAAGATTACTGTGAAATTTTGTTTTAAACGTCAAAAATAACGTTCTTTTTACTCTTGTCCACAAAGTATATGCATTTCAAGAAATCTGGAAAGCGAATTAACTGTTATTTGTTCATGTCTATAAAGTGCATAAAAACCAGTTAAATTTAAAACTTGTAAAAACCTTAGTAGGCCTTTTAAAATAAAAATCTCAAATAATGATTATTTACGGTCGTTGGTAAAAACCCCTGTAAACCCATACAAAATGGGACATTTATTTGAATTTAGGGGAAATGTGAGTCGGATGCTACAACTGAAAAGGGATAAGATACAGTTTTTTTAAATAATACACAATGCTATAATGTGCATTTCTGCGTCAGTGATTTTTAACTTCGCGCCTAATTTCGGAAGAAAAATAATTATTTCTAAAAAAGTACTGTGTGGGGAAATTTCGCCACCCTATGCTAAGGGTAAATTCGCACCTATTTTAAATACATATTTATTTATTTGACGAGCTGGCTAACGAACAGACTACCAGCAGCAGCAACAAATATAGGACGTCAACAAAAATGGTACGCTTGATTAGTGTAGCATACTTATAGGCGTAAAGTTCCCTACATTTTTCAGGTGACGAAATTGCCCAAGTTGTGGCGATTTTACCCCCCTATGTGGCGAGATTGCCCCAGTATATTGGTTTTACTTTTTAATTTTTTATAAATTACCAAGATAATTAAAAAGCTTTTAAAGCTTGGTGCTAACCGCATTCAACAATGAAAATAGAAATATGATAACTTGTCTCAAAATGGACAAAAAAAAGCTTTGAAAAAATGCTGACGAAATTGCCCCATTCTCCCCTATTCAACGTAACAAAAAGGCGTCCAAAACAAAAAATGTCATATTAGAATAACGTCATAATTTTGTTTCATACGATAGGGCATTGCTGTTTATTGCAGAACCGTTTAAAGCCCACACACAAAAAAATGTGCTTGGTAAAATTGACCAACAAAGATAGTTACGTAACTATTAAAATAGTTAATGTATTTTGTTTTTGCTTTGGGTTTGTGCCTTCGCTAATTGTGTGAATTTTGTTGTTGTGAAATGACTATTTACTTAGTAGAATTGACAATTTTGCTGGTTGGGGCCTGTTTGACAATTATTAAAGTTGATTTTACCAAGTTTTTTTTTGTGTGCAGGCGGCGGTAAGTAAGGCAAATTGGAAATACAGATATCTGTTCATCAGAGGCCTTCGATTTGATGGTGAGCGCTCTTTGACACGCGGCTCACGCGCATTTTTTCCGGATATCTGTTAATGGCTTGTTAATGGATGCCTATGATTGCCAAGTAAACTCAACCCGATTTGACCCGCGAGTTCTAGCAACATGAGGAGTATGATTAATTTTACAATGACCTTCGACCAGTGTTAACAAACGCTGTGTGTGACCACTGAACGGAAACCGGATTGTAGATTCTGGATTTAAGCTATGTTTATCCTTCTTGGATGGCCTTTGGCTGCTGTGATAAAATAATAATTAGATAATAATTAAAGCCACGCCGGGCCAGCGTAAACAGGGATGAGTGTAAAAAGTAGACCCAAAAATTTTACGTCATTCATTTATGTCAACTATGTATATGTTACAAACGATTTGTTTTGCTGTTCAAGATATGATTACACTGCTTTATTACCGTCTAAACGCCTTACAGAGTTCCAGTCCTTCACGTTGCACACGTAATTAAAAATTAACTCAGTCCATATCAGAAAATAGCCCACCAGATGCGAGCCGCATACGCAATTGCTAAGCATAGAAATTTATTCACAATACTTGGTTGCTTCTAATTAAAGCTATAGACCAACTAACACCACGCACCACTAGGGTCCCTACCAGAAGAGGCACTGGTACGTGGAGGTCATACCAGTCCCGCCGGGGCACTCGAAGACCTCGGCGAACTGCGGGACCTGGCTGAGGGAGTAGTTCAGGCGCTGGCTGCCTGAGTCGTGATATTGGTCGCCCTCGTCGCCGCAGAAGAAGAGTGCGAATTGCAGGAAGTAGAGCCGGCCGGCGTCCGAATTATTCAGCCAGTCACCCCCAAACGTCTGCAGGGCTAGTCGGGAACCACTGACGTCTGAGGTGCGTTCGTTTAGCATTACCGCGCTGCTGTTTAAGCAGCCGACTGCTTTGTTGTAGAGCTCAAACTGTCCAAGCTGGTCGCTGAAGTTTTTTAGGTTGCCCTGCCCATCGTAGTCCACCAGGTCCGTGTCAAAGGCGTGCATCATCTCGTGACCCAGGGTGTTTCCGAGATCACCATAAAGAAGTGCCGGCCAGAAGGCAGCGTGGAAAAAGGGTCGTTTTACATACGAGTACGGAACAAAAATTATGTTTCCCAGGCAATAGAAGTATGGTGTGGCATCGATGTTGTCAGGAAACTCGGGCGTATGCATATTGAAGCTGTACCAGATTTCGCGCTCCTTCTGATCGGTGCTCCCCTCCAGATCGGCGACAAGCGTATAGTAGAACAAGAGACTATTCAGGTGATTCTCGTAGAAGTCGCGGCCCACGCTCCACCGTCGATCGCTGTTCCAGTAGAACAGCTCAGAAACGTTGGGCGGCAGGTTGCCTACGTTGATGCGCATTTGGCGCACCTTTGTCTTCAGTGAATTCACCAGATCCTGGCTCAGATTAAATGCATTGTATTGGACCCTCAGTTCCAGCTGATCCTGCAACTGTTTAAAGACACTGTGAATAACTAGTTCGTCATCCCTTCGCCGCCGGGCATAAAAACTCCTTTCGTAAACGTAGTTCATCGGTAGGTAAAGAGACCTGCGCATATGGCGAATGCAGCTCCCACCCCTTGACCTCTTGCCGGACTCAGACCTCCAAGCAGCCAGTGGGTTGTGCGGCAGGTCCATTAGGTGGCTGAGAAACCTCGCCAGGCTATACTGGTTAAGCAACAGAGTATTCGCTTTGTTGAGGAACCCCACAAGTCCATTGATGGCGGCCAAGTCGTCCACCTGGATGATATGGTCCGCGTCCACTGATCTTCCCAGCTGCTTTCTTAATGCCTCATCCCAGTCAAGACCTGTCACCTGCGACCGAATCTGGTCCAGGCTGTAATTCCGGAAAGTATCGTCCGCCGAATCTGACTTTGCCAATCTCACCAAATTTTGTTCAAGATTTCTGAACTCTTTCTGCAACTGACCTAGAGGTGGCCAAGAGGAGCTATCCTGGCTTAGTGCACGGTATATGTCTAAAGTAAGACTTAAGTTAAGGTGACGGTTGTGGGGCAGCAGAAATATCATGTGGTGGCTTGCGTTGTGCCACCGCACCTCCACTTGCAAGAAGTGCCCGTGGTATCCGTACCGCCCCAGATCCGCCAGCACATTCATCCAGTGAGAAGAGTTGAGGGACGACAGCAGGTCGGGACCCAAAAGCTCTATATACCGCCTAAGATTGGGCTTTTCCAAGGCAGTACAGTTTTGATAATGAGTAAGCACCTTGTCATATAACGGGTATCCGTGCTCCGGGGCACTTAAATTCCTAAGAAGGTAGCTGAATAAGTCCTCATACTCGCGATTAATTTGCGTTTCACTTATTTTCGTCGCAGTAGTATGTTCTCCATGATTTTCCTTCCATTTACCGCAGGCATAGGAGTAGAAGTCATCACAAGGATTCTTTTCGCTGTCCACGTAGTTCATTATCGTATCGATGTGCTGCTCATTGATCGTAGAATTGCATTTGCTAAGGTACGGACTTCTTTGGTCTGGAGTATTTGTTTTGACCGGAACACTTGAGCTGTAGGTTGCAGAACACAACAGAAAAATAGCAGTCCACAAATTTGGAACCATGGTGCTTCAAAATTACTCTCAGTCAATATAAACACTTTACGGTGGAATTTTTCGTACGTTTTTAAAGTTTCATAAGCTGCATAAATATTGCGGTGCTATAAAAAGCAGTTTTCTCTGCTGCTTAGGTATGAACATTTTAAAAGGAAAAATAGCTGTCTATCAATGCTTCAGAACGTTTGTAGCGCGTTTGCCGCTTGCTAAAATAAAACTAAAATCCCGTTTTACGCAGTTTCGATTCAATGTACATACATATTCGCATTTTTTCTCTCAGATTGTCGCTATACCAAATATTACGCACACTGTTTTATTTTTAAGTGTTCTTTTAACGACTGTCTCTGTAATTGTTCGATTCTTTCAGCTCAGCTCTTTCTTTCTGGGCTAGCTTATCAGCGCTTTAAGTACAGTGGTCGGAATAATTATTTTGACAGATTTTTAAGTTAAATCTACTCATATTTTGAACTTATAATAGAAACATTTTAGCACCTATAGAAAGAGCACTTCAATTCCGTTTAAATGACACAACAATGTTCTAAACCCATAAAGCACTCTTTGAACATTTAGAAAATTAGACAATTTATTGTGAAGGTCAAATTTTAAACTTTTTTCCTGGGGCTTAAAACAAAAATGTTTTGCTGTAAAGCTTTTCCGCAATCAAAATTATTAATAACTGTAACACAAATTTTCAAAATATTTTTCCTTGTATTTTTTATGATTTTTTGAAAATAGCTACATATGACATTTTAGCCGCTTTTTACTCCTTTTCATACAAAATTTTACTGAGATTGTTCCATTAAAAAAATCATAAAAAATACAAGGAAAATATTTTGAAAATTTTTTTTTCAGTTTTTATAAATTTTGATAGGGGAAAAACATTGCATCAAAACATTTTTGTTTTAAGCCCCAGGAAAAAAGTTGAAAATTTGACTTTCACAAAATGTTCTAGCTTTTTAAAGGGTGCTTAATGGGTTGAGAACATTTTTATGTCATTTAAACGGAATTGAAGTGCTCTTTCTATAAATGCCAAAAGCTTATACTAAAAGTTCAAAATGTGATTACAGTTAGCATTCAAATCTGTCAAAATAATTATGCCGACCAGTGTACGTATTTTCTATTCGTTTTTCGGATAGAGAGCTTATCTGTAACGCGTACAACAAAACCCGAGAACATAAAAATTTCTGGCGAACTGCATCAACTTTATGCATCAAAATTATGTTGAAAATTAATTTTTTTGACAAAAGGAACAGATGTTTTGATTTAGAAACGTAGTTTATTTTGCGTTTGAAAGAAAAGCGAGAACAAAAGCTATCTCAGACAAAATTTGAATACATACATATGTGACCTTCCACCAACTTTTTTCTTTTTTATAGAGTGGACAGTACATTAGGGTGGTTTTTTTTTTATGAAAAATTCTAAGGTCCTACTCTCACCCCCTTATACTTTGCGCATTGGTGCATTTAAGACATACCAAAAAGAAAAAATTAAAAAAAATGCGATTTAGTGCTTGCGCATTGACCTTTAAGTTTATCACTCATACGTACTGTTGCCCTTGATCAAATATTTTAATTTCATATAGATGGCGTAGACTTGTCATTACTTATTGAGTCTAAACATAAAGGTGACCTTGTCACCTTTACAAACGGCTAAAGAAAAATAAAATCGCTATGGTTATATAAGTTCCAACATTTAAGGGAGTCGCACCACAGAATCAAACAAATTTTTTTTTTATTTATTGCCCCCAAACTATATGCAGAATATGTGGATAAAAAGCTATTTAGATATTTTTAAAAGAAGTAACATGGGGTGACTCTCTTAGGAGTATATCGTAGCCAAAAAAAACCCTTGCTAGGGTTTTATAACAAGTTTAGAACCCAAGTCGAAACCTAAATTTTTACGTTAGTTTGTTTTCGTAGTCTAACACAAATTCAGGTGAATTACGTGGACTATTATTCAAAAAAATTGTCTACATCTACATTTATTGAATCCTACATATTTAATAAATAATAAAAGACAATCAAAGCAATATAGTTATACCGAAAATTCATAGATTTATTTATTTTGTCCCTGCATTATAGGGTATAGGGTATTGTAATTTTAGTCAAAAGTTTGCAACGCAATGAAGGAATGATTTCCGACCATATAAAGTATATATATTCTTGATCAGCATCACTAGGAGAGTCGATCAAGCCATGTCCGTCGGTCTTTTCTTGTTAAGCCGTGTTATTCGTCAAAGGACGTACTCGAATTTCCTTGGTCTCCCATACGCTAACCAGCATTTTTGCAACAAGCAGAGCACTTTTAGATAAGGCTTGCTTCAGAAGAACTGTCCTGTAGAGCAAAAAGGACAGTACGGTCCTCTTTGACGGCAAAGTTTCTTCTTCATCAAAATTGAAATTCAGCCAAAAAAAGGTGCTCTCCATTTTGTTAACGATTATGAACGAAATCAAATATTTGACAAGTGTAGATATGGGAAAAGATTTGCCTTCCCAAAATTCATACTGGCTTACGTGCCGTATGAGTAATCTTTTTGGAAACTTTGAGACCATTGCGCAAGCCCTTAGACTTAATTTAAAATTTTTTTGATTTTAGTTTAAGTTATTTTGCGCAAATATCTTGTGTTTAAAAGGGTGAGATAAAAATTCCTTATAAAAAACCGCCCTACAGTACATACATATGTATGTATATGCCCAAAAAAAAATTGTACAAAAAAAATATAAACAAGAGTGAACGCTCTAGTCAGGTTGGTGTCCCGACTATCTAATACCCGTCACTCAGCTAATCGGAGTGCGAGGGAGATGGATATATAACATTGTTTTGATTGCGCACAACTTTTTAATGAATAGTCCTATTTGAAAAATGTCTTCTACATTTCGTTAGGTATAAATGTACACAACAAAATTGAATTTATACTTCTCGAAAATCTTTAAAGGTGTGGGCGCCAGACCCCTTTTAAAATCGTTTGTGGGCGATTGTGGGCATTAGAGGGGGCGTGGCCCTCGGCTTAAATAGCTTTTGTAGTTTCCGAGATCTCAGCGTTCATACAGACTGACAGACAGACGGACAGACGTACATGTCTAGATCGACTCGGCTAGTGACCCTGATCAAGAATATAAATACTTTATAGGGTCGGAAATGCTTCCTTCGAGCTGTTACATGCTTTTGCTATACGAGTAACGGGTATAAAAATAGCAAAAAACGCAAAAAAAAAATTCTTTGGAAATGGATTTAGGGTTATTTTAAGTATTGTAAATCAAATAAAAACTCCTCTTAACGTTTTGGGACAGACTGACAAGCGCACAAACTGATAAACAGAATTAAATTTTCATTTTGGGAAGAAGAAGAAAATCTCCTTTTGGCTATAACTTTTGAACAGAGCGTCGAATTTTATCAGTTGACCCCTCATTCGACGGGTATCCCATTCGGAAGTGGAACGCATCCAGAATGGGTGATGGATAGTATCCGAAGCACCGATGCATGCATGCCCGATCGATGAACTTCTCACTTTCTTTTTACAGCAAAGCGGGACAAAATGGGTGCTATCCTATTCAGCGCTCCTGGAGCGCTCCCTTTTCAACTTCGGAAAACGTTCGGGATTGGTTTCCATTTTTTCCCTCCAAAAGATGCGATCCAGAACACATTATTTGGAGTGCTTCTGGATGCGACTTTCACGAGTGAAAAAATTAGTTCTAGTCGATTAAAAAATAAGTTATTTTTAGTTTCATTATTCATTCTTTAATTTTCTTCAATCTTTTCAAACAAATTAAAATTAAATAATACTAAATTAAAATGATACTAAACTAAACCTACTTCTTTCCCATCATCCTCAAAATCGTTGTCCAAATCGTTGTCCTTGTCCGGTCCTTTATTGGTCGTCGCCTTTCTTCGGTTACTATCTTTAGGTCCACTTAGGTCCACCTTAACAGAAACGAAAACAAACAAAGAACACAGGAAACCAAGAAATAAAACAAATCGGCACTTTTCCACAAAAACTAAAATTACCCTGCAGGAAATATGCGAACTAGTCTGAAAAACAACTAGTTATACAACTAATATAAAGCAACCAGAATTTGTCTGAATGCATTTAGACTACAAAACTTCTAGAAAATGTGTGCTAGTCGAAAAAATGAATAGGGGAGAGTGGGGTAATTTCGTCACAGGGGCAATTTCGTCACCTGCAATATCTCGGAATCCATAAGTCTTAAAAATATATATATTTTTTTTGTTTTAGTCCCTCAAGACGGCATGACACTAGATAATGAAGCTATAATATTAAATGTATTTTAACAGTTCAAAAGCTACATTTAGTTCTCGACGAAATTTTTTCTGTATGCCACAATTCAAAAGGAATAAGATACACGATTTTTTATATAATACACAGTGCTATAATGTGCATTTCTGCGTTAGTGATTTTTAACTTCGCGCCTAATTTCGGAAGAAAAATAGTTATTTCTAAAAAAGTACTGTCTGGGGAAATTTCGCCACCCTATGCATAGGGTAAATTCGCGCCTATTGTGAATACCAGGGCTGTGAACCCATATTATTTTTGCATGGGTTCGGTTCGGGGTTCAAACCTAATCGACAGATAATGTTCCGGTTTGCGAACCGGTTCAATGATGAGCCGGAGCAGGGTTCAGGTTCAACCCAGGGTTCACAAAAATAAATTTTTTTTTTATGAAATAATAAATTTCTTTGAAATATGTACCATAACATTAGGACTTATAAGTAAAGTTACAAGATTTATGATTTATTAATTTTATTAATTTAGTAATTTTAATGTGGTCATACTGCGAAAAGTTTTGGAAGATGATAGTTATATATTATTAGATTGTTTGAGTTAGATGCAGTCATTGCAAAGACAAAATTTTTGCGCATTTTTATTTCCCTTAGTAAATAAACTTTACGTTAATATAATCAGAAAACCCCCCACAATATTGAAAAAAAACACGAACACACAAAATAAATTTTTCGTGAACCGAACCAAATATCAAAAAAAAAGTTCCGGTTCGGTTCCGGTTCAATTATAAAAAAATTTTGCGCTCCGGTTTACGGTTCGGTTCGTTTTCTAAAAAAAGTGAACCACTCCGGTTCTGAGTGGTTCAGCTCCGGAATGATTCACAGCCCTGGTGAATACATATTTTTTTATTTGACGAGCTGGCTAACGACTACCGGCTAACAGACTACCGGCAGCAGCAACAAATATAGGACGTCAACAAAAATGGTACGCTTGATTAGTGTAGCATACTTATA